AAGCCTCAGTAATGACGAGATCTCGTATGACACCCCCTCCCCAATCGTCCCTCTACTTCTCAAAAGTCAAAAAAGGTCCGTTAACACCCCCTACCCATCTTCCCCCCTCCTCATTTTACCCTCCCCGTCTCTGTCCCTGGTTCCCCCCTCTCACTGGCTCTGTTACAAGTGTAGAGGTTCACCCTCCTCCTTGTACTGTACCTTCCTTCCCTGTTCCCTCCCAGGTTTCTTCCTCTTCTGCCACCTCCCAGGTTTCTGCTTCTTCTGTCCCCTTCCACGCTTCTCCAGTTCCCTCCACCCTTTCGCCCCCCCCCCCCCTACCTTTGGGACAGTCCAATACAGTTCCAATCTTTACTCATCCTCCCCCTACCATTTCCAATATTGTCTCCCATACGACGTCTCTGAATTCCGAAACACTTGAAGCAATCTCTGAATATATTGCAGAGACCAAACCCTCAATGACACTGTCCACGCTCTGTTCCTTCTCTCTCCTCTCCTCCATCTGCGCAACTCCTTTCTTCACAAACGCACCGTTCCTTCGCTGCTTGAACGTTTTTCCCCCTGCCTCCGCATTGGACTTTTCTAAACCCTCTAGTCCGTAGGAACCCTTACCTGCGGATTTCAAGTACGTATCTTTATCAAATTTCCAAACATGGCCATTTACAGTGGAATATACGCGGGCCCCAGGGGGAATCGGAGTGAGCTTTAGATGTTACCCCCCCAGTTTTGGGCCCCCGTTTGGTGTTTGCTTACAGGAACCAAAATTACACTCTGCTGTTATCTCCCCATCTCAGGCTATAATTTATTGTATTCTTCAGATCCTTTTCCTGATGGGGCCTTTAAGAAAAGTGCCCTTCTTCTAAAGCACTGATATTTCGTACCATCAGCTATTTGTTTCATACTTCACTGCATTACACAGCACCCTATCCACTTGCATAGGTGGTATACGCCCCTGTTCTTTATATCTCTCTCCTTCTCCCGGGCATTATCTATTCGGATATTGCCTTTTTTGTTTCGTCATTACCGCCACCGATTCTGTTACTTGGTGATTTTAATGCCCACCATTTCCTCTGGGGGGGGGGGTCTCACTGTGATTCATGTGGAATTCAGTTAGAGGCTTTTCTTGTCACCCACCCCCTCCATGTTTTAAATACAGGTACGCACACCCATTTTGACCCTCGGACTCATACTCTCTCTTGCATCGATCTCTCAGTCTGCTCTTCCTCCACCGCATTAGACTTCACTTGGTCTGTTCTCCCGGACTTACATGACAGCGATCATTTCCCAATCATTCTTACTTCTCCTTCATATTCACCACCTCTTCGCATCCCACGCTGGCAATTTGATCGGGCAAATTGGAACCTTTACTCACACCTAACTGTTTTTTAGAGAGGGTTTCCCTTTTTCGTCCTCCATCGATGAGCTTTTACACCTCTTCTCGGTCCTCCATTTTAACCGCAGCTTCTCATTCTATACCCCAAACTTCGGGCAGGCATTCTCAAAATGCGTGCCTTGGTGGTCTCCTGCTTTTGCTCGTGCAGTACGTTTGAAACGCCTGCATGGGGCAGGTTTCCGGTACAATAGAACCACAGAGAGACTCCTTGATTTTAAACAGAAACGTGCGATCACTCGCCGTGTCATCCGTGATGCAAACGCACTTGCTGGCGAGATTATGTCTCCACCATCACCTCTGCTTCCTCTATGAGTGCAGTCTGGAAAAAAGTACGAAACTGAGTGGTAAATATTTTCCTGACCCGGCTCCTGTTCTGCGGGTTGCCTGTGTTGATATAGCAAACCCACTAGATGTTGCCAATGAAATTGGCAATCATCTGGTCCGTATTTCTCAGGGACTCCATCTATGCCCCTCATTTCTTTCCTCAAAGTCTGCCAGAGAGTTAGCACCCTTGGACTTTTCTTCTCTCAGAGAAGAACAGTATAATGTGCCTTTTACACTTCAAGAACTGGAGGCAACACTCTCAGCTTGCCGATCATCGGCAGCTGGGCCCGACGACATTAAAATTCGTATGCTACAACATTTACATCAGTCAGCCCTTGCAGTCCTATTATGCCTTTACAATCTTATTTGGTCACAAGGAGTTCTTCCACAGCTGTGGAAATCCGCCATTGTTCTCCCTTTCCGCAAACCAGGCACTACGGGACATGAAACCTCCCACTATCGTCCCATTGCTCTTACCAGTGCAGTTTGCAAAGTAATGGAACGCCTAGTAAATAGACGTTTAGTGTGGTATTTAGAGACACATAACAGTCTCTCCACTCGTCAATATGGCTTTCGTAAGGGACGTCCTACCATAGACCCCTTACTACGCTTGGATACGTATGTTTCGAATGCCTTTGCGAATAACCACTCAGTTATTGCCATATTTTTTGACCTTGAGAAGGCATATGACACAACTTGGAGGTATAATATTTTAGCCCAAGCCCACTCCTTAGGCCTTCGAGGCAATCTACCATCCTTCCTTAAGAACTTTTTAACTGACAGGCATTTCCGTGTTCGGGTTAATAATGTGCTCTCCCCGGACTTTATCCAAGCTGAAGGTGTACCCCAGGGATGTGTTCTGAGCACAACACTTTTTCTCCTTGCTATTAATGATTTGGCCTCTAGTCTTCCATCAAATATTTGGTCATCACTCTATGTTGATGACTTCGCTATTGCCTGTGCAGGCGCTGACTGTCACCTCATTACAGTTTCTCTCGAACATGCAGTCGACTGTGTTTCCAATTGGGCCACCACACGTGGGTTTAAATTTTCCAGCACTAAAACCCACGAAATTACTTTCACTAGACGCTCTGTCATCTCCGATCATCCTTTGTACCTCTATGGCTCCCGTATCCCTGAACGTGATACAGCCAAGTTTCTGGGCCTCCTCTTTGATCGTAGGTTATCCTGGAAACCTCACATTACCTCTCTGAAGGCAACTTGTCACAGCCGGCTGAACCTTCTTAAAACCCTTGCTCATCTTTCATGGGGAGCTGATCGTTGAACCCTCCTCCGCCTACATTCCACCCTTATTTTATCGAAACTTGATTATGGTGACCAGATCTATTCAGCGGCATCTCCTGCTACTCTCTCTAGCCTTAACCCCATTCATCACCAAGGATTACGTTTATGCCTTGGTGCTTTTCGCTCTTCCCCTGTCGAGAGCCTCTACACAGAAGCGAACGTTCCATCCTTATCTGATCGCCGTGATGCCCATTGCCTGCGCTACTATGTACGCTCTCATGATCTCTGCAATCCTTCCATTTATAGAATGGTCACTGATATTAGTAGACATTCTTTATTTGTTCGCCGCCCCTGTTTACTCCGTCCCTTCTCTCTTCACCTTCATTCGCTCTTGTCTTCTCTTCAACTACCACCTTTCTATGTACATGTAGCATCTCACTTTTCCCTACCCCCCTGGGAAGTTCCAGCTGTTCAAGTCTGTTCTTTCTCCCTCCCTTGCTCGAAAGCCCAACTGTCTACGGTCCTTCCCGCTCTCTTTTTCTCTACCACTTTCACTCTCATTCTCATGCCATTGCCGTGTACACAGATGGCTCTAAATCTTCTGACGGCGTAGGATTCGCAGCAGTGTTTCCAGACAGCGTCGTACAAGGGCATTTACTATCTTCGGCTAGTATTTTTACTGCTGAATTGTATGCCATCCTTACAGCACTTATCCGTATTGCATCTATGCCTGTGTCATCATTTGTGGTTGTCTCAGACTCCCTTAGTGCTTTACAGGCTATACAAAAATTTGATACACCTCACCCCTTAGTCCTCCGTATCCAACTTTGGCTACGCCGCATCTTTACCAAGCATAAAGATATTGTTTTTTGTTGGGTCCCTGGTCATGTTGACGTACAGGGCAATGAATAGGCAGACACTGCTGCGAGGTCAGCGGTACATGACCTACCAGTTTCTTATAGAGGTATTCCATTTACGGACTATTTTGCTGCAATATCTTCCCACCTTCACACCCATTGGCAACAACGTTGGTCTACTATGCTCGGCAACAAACTTCAATCTATTAAACCGAGTATAGGTTACTGGCAGTCTTCTTATCACCAGTGTTGAGGTTGGGAGACTACTCTCTCCCGTCTTCGCATTGGCCATACTCGTCTTACTCATGGATATCTCATGGAGAGGCGTCCTGCTCCTCTCTGTGAGAATTGCCAAGCTCCATTATCAGTCAGCCACATTCTCTTGGACTGCCCACTTTATCAACGAGCACGCAGAATTTACCTCTGTCGTCGTCTTCGCTCCGCTACTCTCTCTTTACCTTCCCTTCTCGCTGATGGACCCACCTTTCATACAGACTCTCTCATTAACTTTTTGACAACAACTGACTTCACAAATTCTGATACCTTCAGCCCTTTCTACTTCAATCTCTTGCTACCCTCTACCCCCGTACTATCCCCTGCCCCGCTGTTTTCTGTAACCTGCTGATCATCCCTCCTCCCTTCTGCCATCCAGTACCCTCGCTTCCTTCCCTACCCTGCAGCGCTGTATAGCCCTTGTGGCTTAGCGCTTCTTTTTGATTATAATAATAATAATGTGGTGTTTTCCTTACATATACCCCAACACACTAATGTATATAAAAAAAAATCAGCCCTGGCTTGGGAAGCCTCAGTAACTCCATGTTTATTGACCTCCAATGTTAAATAAGTCATAGGTAAGTGATTTTTGTGTATTTAGAGATTTTATTCAGAATATCATGATTTGTTAGAGGAGTGGCTTAATGAACGCACACTGTAGCAAATATTGCCAGTTTTAAACCAAATAGATCCACTGCCCCGCTGCACTCCATGACCTAATAATCATCCCTCTCCCTCTTGCTACCCAATACCTCTGCGTCCTTCCCTGCCTGGTGGTGCTGTATGACCCTTGTAGGTTTAGTGCTTCTTTTTCATTATAATTAAACCAAATAGAGTAGTTGTAATTTATTACCCCAAGCATAACATTTGGTCTTAATTCTTATCACATGTTATGTTTCTTTTTACAGGAAGCAAATAGTGCCATTAATGAGAAGTGGACACCACACAAAGTTGAAATTACAGTTTGGACTCACAATATCCTTCACCAGTATAAACCAGAGTTACTGTTATGTGCAGAAGGAAAAAGAAATACCGATGAAAAGGAAGGACAGGTATCAAAGAAACTTAAGACTTAAAACAGACTGACTTCAATAATTGTAAATAAAGGAAGAGTACAATAGTGTTAGTGTTATTCTCCAGTCTAACAACAGGGCTTGAAATGGGTGCACTAGGCATAATGAAAAATTTAAAAAAATTAAATAACTAAGCATGTATACAATTTCAATTCTTTGTCATATATATATTTAAAGTCTTCATCATCATTATTAAGTTTATAGGGAAGTGCCAAACTCACAGGGGCCATATAGCACCTGTAAAATGGGATGTAGTCTGGTTTGATCCAAGTGAATAGCTCTGTTTTCCTGGATCAAGAACCTTTCATTTGCATCAGGGCAGCAGTTGGGTTGTGCAAGTCTTAACCTTTTCAGGGTCGACAGGCCCTCTCCCAAACTTGTTCTCAGGGTCGAAAAATGTTCGAAAAAATAAAAAAAAAAAGATTTTTTCTTATGAAATGATAGTTTTTTTTTTGTGAATAATATAGGCCCAAAATATTTTTTTGCGATCAATACTTACAGAGATGTAGAGGCGTGAAGTTGACAGAAATTGACCGCCAACTGCCGGTCACCCAGTGATAGTGTTTTTTTTCTTTCTTTTATTTTTTAATATTTTATTTTTAAGTAACTTTTATGGCCTCTGAGACCAATATAAAGACTATTTGGTATATATTCACTCATTGTATACTACACAATAACAGCAGAAACTTTGCTGTCATTATATTGTTTACAAAACATGTTTACACAAACCAACAATAAAAAATGTTGTTTATTACTATTTTTCTATCATATATATACACATATAGAGTCACTGGACAGGTTCCTATAACTACAAGAGGTTCTGAAAGCTTGTAGTTGTGTGGGGGTGAACATGTAAATATGCTGAGCCACCAGTGTGTTGTGTGTCACAATGATGCATCATACCACCACTCACTAACCTCACTGCCTTCCACAACACAAACCTTCCTCCCCACAAACCTACCTACCTTCTTTCCTTCCTTCCATCCTCTCATCTCTTCCTACCTACCTTTCCTCCTCCCTTCCTCTCATCTCTTCCTACCTACCTTCCCTCCTTCCTTCCTTCCTTCTTCCTTCATTTTTTCTTCATTCAATAGAAGGTATATTGTATGCTACACAATAACTGCACAGTCATATTATTTACAAAACATGTTTACACAAACCAACAATAAAAAATGTTGTTTACTATTTTTCTATCACATATAAAGTCACTGGACACTTCCTAGAACTGCTACAGCTTCTGTAAAGCTCGTGGTTGTGTGGGGGTGGACTTGTAAATATGCTGAGTCACTGGTGTAATTAGTGTCACAATGACAAATAACACCATCACTCACCACCCTCACTGCCTGTCAACTTCCTCCCCACCCCACTAACCCACATGGAAATAAGTCACTGTCTGAATTTTTTGGGTCATCCAAGGTTGATGATGATCTTACTTCCTTCCCTCCTTCCTTCCTTCCTTCCTTCTTTCTTTCAGGTTTCCTGGGCATTGCTTTTGGTCACAAACTCCTCAAAACCATGAAATTCTTCTTCAATGACACTTCCATCTGTGTTTGAACTGCCACTTGGGAACAAAAGAGCCCCAATTAGCTAAGGAGTGAGGAGTTTCTTAGCGCAAGACATGGTGAACAAGCTGTAATAAAATGGCTTTCCCACAATGCACCACTGGGTCCCCGATTTTTTTCATACCGCGCACACTGACCGTGGAGACCCATTCTCTCACATCTAGGTTTACCAGCTGTTTCCTGCTTAATTTGAGGCCACTAGAATTTACGCGTACTAGTACGGCACCAACCCCAGCGCGTAAGCCATACTAGTACGGCACCAACCCTGAAAGGGTTAATTCTTTAGCTTTATTAAACAAATTGTATTCTATGCAATAACTAACTGGAGAATACCTCTTCTGGTTGGCTTCAAATCGTAAACTGGTGTATCTTAGAGAAAGGCTTGGACTGATTTTTAGGCTGTGTAGGTGATGTCACTCTTATTGAAAAAATTTGAAAAATTTAACTTACCTGTGGCTGGCCATACATTTTTATTCCCCCTCCCCTCATCTACTGAAATATAAAAAAAAATTAAGTTTGAAAGATCTTATTTCTATTTTTTTTTTTTTACTCAATGGTTGTCTCCCACTAAGACAAGCAACCCAAAGATAAAAACACACCAGCTCAATTGCCGTCTTTTCAGAAATATGCTGACATCACACTCAGATTACCCCTTCAACTGCAATATCCCTACCCTTCTTTTAGAGTGCAGGTACTACCCCTCTGAAGGAGGGATGGGGATGTTGTTGTCAGAGAGTAAGCTGATTGTGATGTCAGCACACTTCTGGAAGGACAATGAATGAGTTAATGTTGGTAATACACGTACAAAAAGAAAACTTTAAGATTTTATGGTTTGTTGAAGCTGGTAAAAAATGATCACATGTTGGCAACAGCAGTGCAAATATGCTTAGTACTATGCATATTTTACAAATTATTGATATAAAATTATGATTTTTTTTATCACTGCCTAATATAGTTCTATGCACTCTATTTTTTTTAAACACTGGCTGTCTCCCACTGGGGCAGGGTGATCCAAAAGAGGAAAAAGCATTAGCCATCTTTTTGCCAGAAGCACACCGACACCATGGTTCAGATAACCCTGAACCCTTAATACTTGCTCACACTCAAACAGCAAGTCAAAATAATTTTAGCTATGTATTTCCCCTTCATTACTCCACTCAGTGATAAGTATAAATTTTGATTGCATATACAGTGGACCCTCAACCAATGGCTTTAATCTGTTCCAGAGAGCTAGCCTTTAGTCGAATTAGCCGTTAGTCGAATTAATTTCCCCCATAAGAAATATTAGAAATAAAATTAATCCGTTCCAGACACCCAAAAATATTAATCAAAATAATTTTTTTTTTACATGAAATATACATTTCCCTACACAGAAATGAATGGTACATGCAAAATAAACAATAATTAAATGCCACTTACCTTTATTGTGGAGTTGTTGATGAATAATGTGCCAGTAGCAGGGGAGATTCAGGTTTTTTAGTGTTTGGAAGGGGAATCCCCTTCCATAAAGACTTCAGGTACCAAGTCCTTTGGTGGGGTTACCCCTCCTGTTGGTTTTTTAATGCCACTAGGACCAGCTTGAGAGTCACTGGACCCCTGTTGCACAAAATATCTGTCCAGAGAGCTCTGTTTCTCATGTGTCCTTAGGGTTTCCCTAAAATGGGACACAAGAGTGTAATTGTACATGTTGCCAATATGGCTTGCAACAGCTGTGACAGGATAAAATTCATCCATAAATCCTTGCAACTTTGTAAACATTGTACACATTTCCTTAATCCTTGACAAAGGCAACTTCCTCCGTCTCTCTTCCTCCTGCTCTGAAGCACATTCCTGAGCTGTGATCTGTTGCTGTTGCACCTCAAGCTCTTGCAGCTCTGCAGAGGTTAGTTCTTCATCATCATTCTGCACCAACTATTCCACATCCTAGCCACAAACCTCCAACCCCATGGACTTCCCCAATGACACAATAGCTTCCACAACTGGCATAGGCTCCTGAGGGTTAGCCCCAAACCCTTCAAAATCCCTCTCTTGTACACATTGTGGCCACAGTTTCCTCCAAGCAGAATTCAAAGTCCTGCAAGTAACTCCCTCCCACGCCTTACCTATAAGGTTTATGCAGCTGAGGATATTGAAATGATCTTTCCAAAACTCTCTTAGGGTCAATTCAGTGTCTGAGGTCACTTCAAAGCACTTCTGAAACACTGCTTTTGTGTAGAGTTTTTTGAAGATTGAAATGACTTGCTGGTCTATGGGCTGGAGGAGAGGAGTTGTATTAGGAGGCAAAAACTTCACTTTAATGAAGCTAAACTCCCCTGCAATTTGCTCTTGCAAGTCGTGAGGATGAGCAGGAGCATTGTCCATTACCGGGAGGCACTTGAGTGACAATTTCTTTTCCAGGAGGTAATTTTTCACAGTGGGGCCAAACACACCATAAAACCAGTCCATGAAAATTTCCCTAGTGACCCATGCCTTAGTGTTTGATCTCCACAGCACACACAAATTACCCTTGACTATATTGTTTTTCTTGAACACACTGGGAGTTTCAGAGTGATACACCAATAAAGGCTTCACTTTGCAATCACTGCTAGCATTATTACACAACATTAATGTTTGCCTGTCTTTCATAGGCTTATGTCCTGGGAGTGCCTTTTCCTCCTGAGTAATGTAGATCCTGTTTGGCATTTTCTTCAAAAACAGGCCTGTTTTGTCACAATTAAACACTTGTTCAGGTTTTAAGTTTTCAGTGTCTATGTACTCCTTGAAGTCCTGCACATGTTTTTCAGCTGCTTTTTTATGTGAACTGGCAGTCTCACCATGCCTTACCACACTGTGTATTCCACTACGATTCTTAAATCTCTCAAACCAGCCTTTGCTGGCTTTAAATTCATCAGTATCATCACTATTTTGAGGCATTTTCTTAATGAGATCATCATGCAACTGCCTTGCCTTTTCACATATTACTGACTGAGACACACTATCTCCTAATAATTGTTTTTCGTTTATCCACACCAACAACAGTCCACCTCTTCAATTATTTGCGATCTCTGTTTTGAAAACATACTTGCACCTTTCACAACAACAGCTTCCTTGATTGCCTTTCTGTTCGCTAAGATAGTAGTGATGGTTGAATGGGGTTTGTTATATAGCCTTTCCAACTCGGACATACACACTCCACTTGCATATTTTTCAATGATCTCTTTCTTCATTTCCATAGTAATTCTCACCCTTTTTACCACAGGCTTGGCACTAAATAAGCCACCATGGGGCCCATGGTGGCTTATTTAGCAGTTACAAGTACTAAAATCACTGGAATAATACAAAATGTATCGCAGGTACACATGGAATCGACCGCAATGGCTTGTAAGCATTGGCACACTGAGTCTTGGAGTGGCTGTGCTTGCTCAGGCTGCGCTCCGGCCGCATGGACACGTTCAGGACGAAAGCCTGAGTTTTTCGCCGTTGGGAGAACCAATATTTTTACACCA